ATACAGATGAAAACAAAATTTACCACAACCAGTGCTACCTACAAAGATAATCTATGTCCAACCCATATTTTCCAATTATAAAAGTAATTCATGATTATTGTAAGTAGTTTAAATAGGGTAGATAATAAGGTTTCAGATAATTCTGCAAGCCATTCTTTTTTAATGCTAAATATATTTCTGTAACAAAAATGTGTATGTTTTGTGTGTGTGTGATACGTACTTTTGTGTCTTAGTTTTAACTCAATACTACATAATGTTTTATGTAGCCATAGCTGTATTGAGAAACTTAATTTACTTTCCTTTTCTTTTTGCTCTCCCTTCTTTCCTTTCCTTCTCCTTCACCCACCCCCCAGTTCTGGGGATTGAACCTAAGACTTGGCTACTCAAAGATAAGCAAGCTTATTTCCGTTGAAGTATATTCCTATTTGTATTTTTCTTTTGAGACAAGAACTTGGTCTGCAGCTTAGACTGCACTCCAACTTGCGATTCTTCTCCCTCTCAAGTATCTGTGATTATAGGCATGTGCCACTTTGCATTGCTAAAAGCATAAATTCTGAGGTCTGTATACTATCATATTCTTTATGCTGCTATAAAATATCACATAATGGCTAATTTACAGTAAGAATTTATCTCTCATTGATCTGAAACCTGGCATGTATAAAATCAGGACCTTGTAGTATCTTGTAGGGGCTGTTTTCTGCTTCCAAGATGATACCTTGTTGCTGGCCTTCCAGAAGGTGTGAGCACTGTCTTCATATGGTGGAAGGAAAGGAAAGGGGCAAAGCTGTATATAAGAGTATTAATAGCTTTCTCAAGGGCCCCCTCTTAATATAATCGCCTTGGGAATTAATGTTTCAGTATATGAGCATTGGAGAGAGGGTACACAAAATCTAGTGTATTTGTTATGTGGGCATCCTGCAATTCAGCTACCTAATATCTTATTTTTGAGCACTGAATCTCTCCCACTATGTCTAAGTGTAGAGTGATCTTTCTTGTGTTTATTTCTGTTTTTCTGTTAATAGACTTTCGTCTTGGCTTAATTACCTGGTAAACTAATATGCTAAAGCATCTTGGTTTCTGTGAGATGACACTGCTGATATGGGAGTCTATAATTTGTCATAACTAGCTGAGATAGTAGATAGTAAAGAGTGTGGAAATGATGTTACAAAAGTGGACTGAGCCATTAGGAATGAGAAAGGAAAGAAGGTGAGGCATTTGAATGATCGTAAATGGAAAAAGTAGTCTTGTCTGTGTTTCTCTAGAGTGGAGTCTCAAGACCAATAAAGTGTAATTGAGTTCAACACAAATACAGATTGTGAGTCCCTTACCTAAGTGCTTGGGAACAGAAGTGTTTTAGATTTCAAGGTGTTTATTTTTTCCCCTCAGATTTTGGAATATTTATATGTTTATACAATACTATATCTTGGGGTATGGGTTTCATGCTTGAATATGAAATTTATTTTTTGTCTCATACTTATAAAAATAGATTAAAGGTGATTTTATGTAATACTTAGTGAGAATGTATTTTTGCATTTATATTTATTAAAGGCGTGGGAATGTGTGTGCATGTGTGCACACATGTAGAAATCAGGGAACCCATCATGGGCGTCATACATGTGACTTTTCACCATGCATGTGAGTTCTGGGTATCAAACCCAGTTCATCAGGTTTATCATCAGCACATCTCACCAGCTCTAATGTGTTTTAACTATAATACTATGAATGCAGGTGAGGAACATTTCCACTTGTACTATCTAAACACTCAGAATGTATCAGAATTTGGAGCATTTTAGATTTCCAGGTTAGGGATTCTCTACCTGTAATAGCAAAATGTACTAGCACTCACTCTGTACCAGCATGTCTTGTTACTTTATCTTCTTAGCGTCCTATTGGACAGCATTTTTTTTTATAATCTTCATCTTAAAATAAGGAATTCAAGACCCATATAGTTTATCTAAGTTGTCCAGTGCTACACAGCTACAGTGGTGAAGGCAGTGTCAATATGCAGCTCTAATTCATAATTATTACATTGTACCAACTTTCACTGGGCATTTGCCACAGTACAGGCACTATATTCAGAAATGAAAACACGAAGATAATTGAACTGTGGTGATTAAACTCCTAACATCAATGAGCTAATTGTCAAATGAGTAAGATTCCACATAAATATAGATTTAATAAAATGTGTTGAACCCTATGAGAGAAGTATGTACCATGATGTAAGAGCAAAAAAAAAAAAAAGCCTTTTAGTATGTAGTGGGAGTTCAAGAAATAAGGGCAGGTGGCTTTCACTAGGCTCAGTGTTAAAATGCCATGTTTTATTACCAATTCTGCCATGGCTACAGGAGAAACAGACAAGTTTTATTTTTATTTGGTGGTCAGAGTGTTAACACCCTCTAAATCAATGTGTCCATCCAATAAATGAATTGTTGGATTAGGATAGTTAGATTTACGCTGTCTTGCTAATGAACAATCATGTTTGAGTTACTTTCATGACTTAGAACATTTTCTGTAGCATTATTATTTTTCTTTAAATGGACTGGCTTACTTTAATAAAAATAAATTCCTACAAAAATAGCATGACTGAAAATGGAAAACCATTTTTAATTTCAGCAAATAGAAGGTAACTATAAAAATAAAACACACAGTATGGGAAAATATTTATCTGTGTGCCACCCAAAATGATCCTTCATAGTAGTATTGGTATACATGCCACATGTTGGAAAAAAAATGCTGAAATAACATCATCAGGCCTTTCTCATACCAACATTCTGTAACTGAGGTAACTCCTGTGAGGATTTGTGTTTCCCACATTTTATTTTCAGCATATTTGTGTATATTTCCTCTAATTGGCCACTCAATACTGACCATTTCAATTGTGTGTTTCTACCATGTAAACAGGTATATCCCCATGGCACACTAATTAGAGTCTCATCCCTGATCAAACCATTTATCTTATCTTAGGAAGTGAATTGTTGCTGCTAAGCTGCTTGCTACATTCATTCCAATTCATTGCTGTACTGACTTGAGGGAGTAATGCTCTGTCAATTGTCATTCCCTGTCAGGCTGCTTTAACCATATTTGTGTATTTACTTGAGGGATCAAAATGACTATAGTACTAGGCTGTTTGGAGAAAGGAAGAATGAAGGACATAAAGGATGAAGCATCAGTACTTTTAGTATTGTGCGTTAAGAAAGATTTTGAGAACACATCATAGGCATAACTCCATTTAGATTTTCCATTTTACTTTATGAGAGAAGTGATAGAATGATCTGTCCCACAGGGTAAGGATCAATTTCTTACTTGTTTGGGAGACAATGGGCAATAGGCTGTAGCCTTCTATAGGGATGTGATAAGTGCTTATTGTGCCTTTGGGGAACTAACACTCCTGGATTAGCTCAGTGATAAAGAAATCCCTGTCCTATTTTTACATTTCCTTAGATAATTTAATATGTTTATTTGTTTAATATGAAAGTAAGAATTCAAGTCTTATACTGACTCAGAAATATACATTTTTAGGGACAGGGCCAAGGATATTACCCCTTTCCTACAGGTGAGGCTGAGGCTCCCAGTTTTTCTGGTTTGACTTGGTCGCTAACTCTAAAGGCTCTTCCTTCCTCCAATTTTATGGGTGTGGTAACTTTGGTAGTCTAATTGTATGAAAAATCCATGGGAGCCCAACTTCTCATCCTAACACATACACTACCACCACCACCACCATAGCTAATCAGTCAAACTTTTTACTCATAAAGTTAGTAGCCTAAGGCACAACTAAATTTATAGTTTGTAAGCCTGCTAGAGTTTGCCTGGGATGATACGATGCCAGGAGGATTTCAAATTCTGTCCATAGGCTCCTGGCCCACTGGACATTCCTAAAGTGAACTTAATCATGTGTCTGGGTGTCTTAGAGCAGTTTGGTTACTATTTTTGTAAACTGGTGTGTTCATGTGTAAAAGGATAGGAAACAAGAAGGAATATGGGTCATTGTTTCAACTTCTGTGGCCAGGAAGTAGAATCAAAGTTCAGAGATTCCATTGTTAAGAATAGTACTAGTTAACCTTTGAGAGCTTTGTTTGTGCCCAGCAGTGTGCTTTGCAGGCTGTAATCTCACTAGAGCTGAGGTAGGTTTTTCAGGAACTGATTGTGGGTCAAGCTGTGGAAACTTTAAGGGAAAAACAAAAAGCTTAAATTCACTAGTCACTGCAAAGCCTCCTCTGTATCATATTTAATGTCTATGACAGTTCTGTGAAGTAAATACTAACAGGATCTCTGTAAGAGGAATCCGTATTGAAACTGTTTAGAGACATGGAAAGTTTTTTCTTACCTTGCACAGTTTAGAAACCAAGCTCCCTCCCAGTTGTCTTCCAGGACTTCTCTTCTCAGCTAAATAGATACCTTCTTCCAAATGTCCTTTTCCTTTGCTGTCGGTAACCTGAGTGTTTTCCTCTGAGACGTGGGAGGAACACAACAGTGGTTCAACATCAGCAGGGAGTCAAAAGGTCTCCTTCTAGCTGAGCTTGCTGGGAGACTATACCCCCTGGGGAGCTGCAGAGCTAAAGGGGGGAAATGTGGGTGAGGAGGGCAATTTTGTCCTCACTAGATCTGAGGTGTGCACTGGTTTGGGTAATATTCTTGTTATCCTAGGAGTCACAGTAACATAAGAGGGCAGCTTTTTCAGGTTATGTGCTACTATTTTTTCCCCCTCCTTGTCTCCAGGCTACTCTACCCTGCTGGTTCCCTAAGTATCCTCTCTTGTCTTGTCTTCACCTTTCCTCATCACCCTCTTCTGCCACACCTTCTCCTTAGCTCCAATTCTTCAAGTATTTTAACACTATTGTTGTTGTTCTACTGGGAGCAGGGAGGGTGGAGGCCTCTTCCTGAGGCTTTTCCTCCTCTTTCCCTCTAGCCCTCATTCTGGGCTCCACCCCAGTAGTTTGTCAGCTGACGTTCTGGAGGAGGAAGAAAAGCAGGATAATGAAGAGGAAGAAGAGCATTAAAGAGCAGCATCTTTTGAGACCTGGGTATGTGCAGGGGTTTTGTCCATCTTCCTTTAAGTTTAGAATGTAATTTATGTAATTTAATTCTCATCTTCCCCAGGTTCTTTAGAAATGTAGAAGAGAGTTCAGGCTGCTTCTGGTGCAATGGAAGAAGTTGAAAGTGTTGCAAGTGGCTATTTGCTTTGTTTCTTAAGCCACCTAAGAAAAAGGGAGCCCCTACTGCTTCCTAGAAGGAAACAGTACAATGTCCCGTTCTTCATGTCTGCTTCTTCACAATCTTCATTGGACATGTCTCACAAGGACACCATCCATGCTGATTATTGATATGACAAGAGGCAAAGAACAAGGGTGGATGTGTCTCAGTGGGAGAGTGCTTACCAAACATACACAATGCACTGGGTTCAATTCACAGTATGGAAAAATAAGGAACAGATAAAGAACATCAAGGAGAACTCCTGCCTTTACCACTAACTGTGGTGCTGGGGTACATAGGTCCTTGTGAGTAGCTTTAAGTTCTCATTCAGGCAAGACAGATATCATGTCTAAAAACTTCAAAGGAAAACTGTAAACCAATAGACTGGACATAATGAAGTCAGGGGCTACTATACTGGAGTCCCTAGAAGAGACTGGATAGCCTTAGCTCTCTCTTTAATTTTCAACATGCTTTTTTTTTTTTTTTTTAATGTCATAGGTGCTCAGTGTGTTGCCCTGACTAACTGCATGGAAGAATGTATGGGAAAGAATCTTGAGATTATTTACTTAAGATTTAATAATTTACTTTGTTTTTCCAAAGTCTGAATTTAACAACTGGGTACAATGTTTTCTAAATGCAGTTGAGGCAGAAAAATAGTACAGTATAAAATAAATTAGATAACAAGAAAAACTCTTAGCAAGAGTATAAATTGTTTGGCTATCTTCAAATGGACACATCTTCTGGAGCCTCCCCTATGACCAGAAGGTACACCTAGCCAAGGTAAAGAATTCTAGTGGCTATTGATATCAGAATTTATTACAGAAGTCTACCGTCTTCATTTTTCACACTACAAAAGTATATTAGTCTTTGATATAAACAGTTTTACATCCTTGAATCTAAAACCTTCGGTCATTACTGAAGATAGCCTTGGACTAGTGAAATATCCTTTTTAAAAAAGCAGTATTCTTTATATTTTATACATTAAAGGCATTAAGATTCAAGGAATAAAGTGGCCCTTTTAAAAAAGAATTGTACATTGTATGACCCCCTGTTAATAAGTCTTACCTTGTAAGTGGGGCAGGGTGTAGGCAGTGGTGGAAATATGGCATAGAGAGATAGTGAGGCATTTACAAAAATCCCTGCTACAGAAACATCCTTTATATCCTGCTGTTTCATCTTGTGTCTTGGTTTCTGCATATGAAAATGGTAGTGATAATACCTACCCATGCCACTGTCAGAATGATTCAGTGGGGTTTAGAACAGAGCTCAGCACATAGTCACTGCTCAGTAACTATTACTGATAATAACCAGCATCTGCATTATAGATATACTGGCACCTCATGCCTAACCTTCAGGACTTTCTAGTGTAGTAATAAGGAGAAGCAGTTATAACAATACATAGGTACAAGGAGGTGCAGAAGGAAATGTTCAGTTCTCTCTGAATGAATTAAATAAGGAGAGGAGATGACCTTTAGTTGGTCCTTTAAAAACAAAGTGGACAGAGAGTTTAAGCCGCTTCAGGCCAAGAAGGTAAGGTGTCTAGTGACCCAGAGGCTGGAAAAAAGCCTGGGATTATCAGGGATTTCCAATCTGGATAAGATCTAGTAGAGCAGCAAAACCCCTGGGGCTTGAGATATAGGCAGGATCCAGATCATCACAACAGGTTAAAGGATTCCCAAGTGTAGCCTTGAATGTTTGGGTTGTTGGTGAGCTATCTACCAGTGGAAGAAGAGATTGTTTGGGGAGGGAAGGAAAATGAGATGTTTAAAACACACCTGAGCAGAAATAGCAGTTAAGCAAATGGACATACTTGCTGGGCACATACTGAGCTGTAACCCTCAGTTTTCTTATTCTTTTTTTAAGAAGCTGGGTGTGACAGTGCATGCCTCTAAACACAGAACCAGGAAGGCCCAGGCAGGAGACTGGTGAGTATGAGGACAGCCTTGGCTACATTAGTCTGAGCTCTAAAGACTACCTCCTATCTCAAATAAACTACAATAACAAAAAATGAGCTAGAGATCCAGTTGAGTGGTAGAATGCTTCACAGAATACACTAGTCCCTGAAATCAATCCTCAGTACTCCCTGGTGGGGCACAAAATATAGTGCTACCTACTGTCCAGGATTGTTACCAGGAATAAAGGAAAACTGATGACTATAATGTTACCTGGCCCAGTGAACTGCCCATATGAGGTGCTGAATACATGAAACCTATTATTTCTCTTGCTTGGCTGCTCCTTCCTTTCCTCTCCTTTGTTTCTTCTCTCACTTTTGCCTCCCCTTTAGAAGAATTGTGGTAGGGTAGAGGCACTGGAAGGAGGCTGTGGTTGTCTGTAACTACCGGGTTTCCATTAAAATGAACTAGAGAAGGACTTTAAGGCAAGGGCAAGGAAATGCTGGGAAAGTTGCTTCTCTCCCATGGATTCAGTTCTTCAGGGTTGTTAGCCAATGCTTTGTTGAGAAGCAGTCTCAAGGGGTTGAAAACTCTATTCTTAGAGAGCGTGTAGCTGGGAGACTCAGAAAACCTTTATGAACTCTCTCTGCCAGGGCCACAGGGTGTTAGCAATTCATGTTCAATTCAGCTTCACCCACTTCCTTTTTTACCCTCAACTTCTCTTATCTATTGCTAAAAAATTCACCCAGCTCCATTCCTCTTAAGCATCAGCCCTGAAAAGACACTGTGACCCCTCTGTCCTTGCTAGTGTCATACGTTGCCATGGAAAACTGGGAGGGTAAAAATCTGCTGAGAGTTACCATTTTTCCTGGCACTCCCCATTCCGCAAACCTTTCTTCCTAGACATCCTGAATCACCACACCCTTCTCATCCTTCCCTGGAGAGCTTAAGTCCGCGTGGACAGGTGACCAAATAGTGTGCCTGAAAACCCCTATCAGGGACTAAGCATGCACTGAAACGGATTTCAGTCTTACCTGCTGCAGCAGGAGGCCAACAGAGATTGCCGGCCAACAGAGACTGCCGCCAGGAGCGAAGCCAGCTCCCATTGCCTGGGTCCCGCCCCACCTCCTTCCGTGTCCCTCCGCCTTTTTCTGACCCATCCATCTCTACCCCCCTCCTACTCCACTCCCCTCTAGCGGCCACTTGTCCCTTTTAAGGAACTCCACCCTAGGTGGATTCCTCGTGGTAGTAGTGGTCACACCTCTTTTCTGGGCCTAGTCTGTCACAGAAAAAAACTAAGCACTCCACCTACTCAGGTTGCCTGGCGAGTGCACCAGGCTCTGACCTCACGGGTGCGGTGTAACAGTAGGGCGGCCAGGTACCACCGAGAAGTCTCTCGGGCGTGGTCCCGCGGGAGTGCCTCCCACTCGGGTGGAAGCCCCTGCCCTGGGCTGGTGTTTTCCTATATGTTTCCACCAATCGCTAGCGTCTATCCCTCCTTTCTTTTTAGGAGGGTGCTGGGTGTGCAGCGCTAACCGCTGCCTGGAAGGGATCTTCTGGCGCTATCTCCTTGTGGGTCTTGAGTGACTCCTTCTGGTTGGTCTCAACTTTGCGTTTAAGTCGTGATCTGAGGTTTGGGTGCTTTTCCGAGACCCCGCCCCTGCTCACTAGGCGAGGGTGTGAGGAGTTTTGAGGTGGGTGGAGAATGGGCTTGGCCGGAACTGAATCGGTTGAGGTAAAAAGGGAACGCAGGAGCTTCAGCGCTGGCCACTTAGTCTCGGAGAAGCAGCTGTATTTTTAGCACCGAGAAGGCTGCAGTGGGAGGATTCTTTTTAGGAAGTCTGCTCCACCGCTCTGATTCGGGGCTTGGATGCTTGAAAGCTTTATTTCTCTTGTTCTGAAGGGTGGCCCAGCTGGGTCTAAATCAACTCCTTCCTTTTTTTCGTTTCCCCCATCCTTTTCCAACCTGGAGAAAACCGGGAGGTGGGAGACCAAGGAAGAGAGGGCTAAAGCGCGTTGTCAGGCGCGCTGTCAGACATGGGCGGGTGCAAAAGGAATAGATGTCTTGAGATCAGCTCAGGAGTATGAGTCTCCTGTAGGACTGCTTGAGCTCCGGACACTTCAGGAGTCCTCAGCTAGAGATACGGGAGGTAAGTGACTTGGGAAAGAACCCACTCTCCTGTCCTTAGTCTAGGTTCTAATACGCCCTACCCGCCGCCTCCGCCACCGCCAACCGCACACACCCACTTGGCTTTGGGTTTTAGCAGTGAAGTGGGATTGAGGCAGCGGGGGACGTGTGAGCGGAAGGGGCAAGAACATTATGTAGAATTAAATTAAACTCAATGGAAAATGACTTCAGGGGGCCTTGTGGAAAAATTGGAAGGGGACAGGAATGGATAGGTTTGTCTAGTTCCGTCTGTCCTGTCTCCAGTACAGCCAGTCTTCCTTAAGTGGTAAGGTTTGTTTTAAACCCAAAAGTCTCAGCGAGAGGGGAGAGGATTTGGAAGAGCAGTGATCCCACTTACGTCACCCCTCCCTTCCCCCAAGCAATAGCAGGTGCCCAGAGATGCTTCTAAAAACAAGGAAGAGCGGCAGTGAAGAGTTAAGTTAGTGTCTGGTCTCTTGGTACTGACCTTAAGACCCGTTCTGCGGAGGAGCTGCTTCGGACATTCCAGCTCGTTAAGGAAGTGGCTGAGCTTGGTTGCAGGATGAAGCCAGTGCATAGCTCTGTCTAGGCTCTTTAAGATGTGACCAATAGGGTAGTTCGTGTAGGTGGAAGATCGGCTGGAATTGCTCTGATTACTGGAGCGAAGGGTGAAGCTTTTTGTACTTTCTTTGACCCTAAGAATTTTGTAGAAACTATATCACGTCCTAACAGGTGGCAAGGGGACAATACCTTATTTTCTCTAATAATGTTGGCATTGCAAAAAAAAAAAAATAAAGTACTTGTATGCCACATAATCTAATACTGACGGAGAAAAGAGAAAAAGAAAATAATCTGTAAATTTGGGTTTTAAACTAAACATAGTGCTTTGTGAGAATAAAGAAGATTTACTTTAAAACCCTCCTACTGCCGCTAACCATTTAGGTGCCCCTGCCCATTGCTTTTCTCTTCTGTAGGATGCATGCTAAAAATTCTTACTCAGAAGATATATATGGCATAGACTGCTGCTACTTGCTCGGTTTTTCACTTTCTTTTCATACTCTGTTTAGGGTTTTCTCTGGAGTGCAGCAGGTAGACTTAGTTCTTTGCTGTCCTTAAAGCACATTTCTGACTAAGGAAAAGAAGCCCTGTATAGGTTGAACAGCTTGTGCAAAGACAGGCTGGAATATATGTCTTGTTTGCGATTTAACATTGTTCCTACTGGATTTTATCAGCTGTAAGAGAAAAGGCCACTAACCTGCCTATCTTCTGATTCTTTGGTTAGTTGAACCAAACTGATGTGACCCACAGGACCTTTGGACAGCAAACCAGTGACTCATAAATGACTTCATCCTCTTCTTCAAAGTTTGGGGATAACCCTTATGAGAGAGACATTAATCCTTGGAAACTTGATGAGAGAGGCTAGGCATAGTGTCTTCACATTAGCTTAGAGGGCAGATTGGCAAGAAAATGCAGGCAGTGTAAAACTTCCAAAGTGTAAGTGACAAACGGAACTATGCAGTCCAGTCCCAAGACAAAACTGCATAAAAGCTCTACTTTCACAGCATTAGAATGCTGTAGAATCTTCTTGCTTTCAAAGCACATTGGGAAGAAAATTGGTGGGAAAAAATGATCACCACGGCCACTCTCATTTTTTCTGGTATATGCAGTTCAGAGATGAGGCTCTTAGTGGTTCTGGTCTTTGTTTGTTTGTGTGTTTGTTTGTTTTATTGAAAAGGTACAGAGACAGGTTATTAAATTAGTTTTTCCAGAATGTGTTTCTCATGTGAGAAGATGGAAATTGGCTACTCATCCTTTGTTATTGTGGCTAAGGCTTGTTAATGTTTGATACATTTAGATTTTTTTTATTTATTTAGATGTTATTTATTATTATTATTATTATTATTATTATTATTTTAAGGACAGGGTTTCTCTGTGTAGCCTTGGCTGTCCTGGACTCACTTTGTATGCCAGGCTGGCCTAGAACTCAAAGAAATCTGCCTGCTACTGCCTCCCTGAGTACTTGGATTGGATTGCAGGTGTGCTCCATCGTGCCCAGCTTCTTTTTTTCTCTTTTCTTAAGTTTTTATTTATGTATGTGTCTGGTTGAGTTGAATGCTGCATGTGTGAAGAAGCCAGAATTAAGTGAGCCACCTGACATAGATGATGGGTACTGAACTTGGGTCTTCAGGAACAGCAGGCCGTGCTCTTAACATCTAGCTATCACTCCAGCCCAATACATTTATATGTTTACCTTAATTTTGAGTCATTTGCACTGTATGGGCACACTTAAATTATTGAATGAAGAAAAAGCAGCCTTGGGATACATAATTCATTTAGCAAATTGATATACTGGATGTTAAAAACTGAGAAAAAAAACTGGAGGGTTATTTTATAAAATATATATTGAACATTGAAGTCAGGATCTGGTATATTATTGGAATTTTAGAAGATGGTGACAAGATCTTACTTTGTAGTCAGCCTGGCCTTGAACTCTGAAGCCTCCTCCCTCAGCCACCTGAGTGCTGGAATTATATGCATGAACCATTTTATCCCTAAGAAAATTTTTTTAAGATTTATTTATTCATTATGTATACATTATTCTGCCTGCATGTACACCTGCACCAGATCTTATTTCAGATGGCTGTGAGCCACCATGTGGTTGCTTGGAATTGAACTCAAGACCTTTGGAAGAACAGTCGGTGCTCCTAACCTCTGGGCCATCTCTCCAAACCCCCTCCCAAAAAGTTTTTAAAGCTCATTTTCTGTTTGAATTATTTTCTTTATCCTCCCATCCATTCTTTTTTAACTTCTATTAATTACACTTTATTCACTTTGTATCCCCCCATAAGACCCTCCCTTCTCCCCTCTCATCCATTTTTATTCTTAT